AAATTAGTCTCTTCGCTCAAAAAAGCATCAAATATTTTTCCTTACGAGATGAAGCCTTGAATTTTATACCATTCGAACCGCCGTGAGACGGAGAACAAAGTTATAGCCCCAGAGTTTTCATTTTTTTTTCACAAAAGATCATTAAGTTCGACTTAACAAGTATGACTAGAGAAAAATGCGACCTGGAGATCATTAAGCTGACTTTTTTCGAAAAAGCGAAAAAACCCATCTTTCTAAACTAGTGCGTTGTATAGCTCTTTCAATTCTCTACAAACTGAGCCACTCGGAAGGTCTTCACTAGTGGGACCAGTCATGAAAGACATACAAAACAAATATTCGAGGGCAGAAAACAGCTCTAAAATACTCTTTTCGTAATTTTTTCTGTCATAATGAAAAAATATACATTTTTGAGAAATATACCTTTAGATAGCCCGTGAAATTCTCTACAAGGTGAGCTGGCCACAATGTCCAGACAGGTGTGGCGAGTCATTAAAGATACGGAAAAGAAGCGTTTGGGTGTTATCTAAGTAGTACAGTGTGTTATAATTACAAGAACTCCCTTGCTTTTGACTTTTTAGTAAAAGCTGGAACCAATCTGAATAATGTTTTGAATAGCCCGAAGATTTTTCTATTCGATGAGGTGCATATCGCCCTTTTATGAGAAAAGTTGATAATAGGGCTTCTGGAAAACCTGATCTGTGGAAAACCAAGTCCTTAGTATTTGGTCAGAAAATTTTGCAAACCATGTAGTCTGATAGAGCGAAGAAATCTGAGCATTTTTTTTGCTCAGATTTCGTCGCTCTATCAGACTATCAAAAAAAAGATAGTGCTTAAACTTTGAATTAGCCGCGCCTTACTACATCAATATACTTGTTTTGTAAGAGAGATATTATTCCTCGCACGGATGTTTAACGCATAAGAAAGCCTTGAATATATTTTTTAGGTAAAAAATCTCTTCTTTGTTTTAGTCCAGATCGATCAGCTAATCGTCATTCTCAGCGGCGGTGGGTTGGATGGTATATTCTATAAGACCAGAGAGGAAGATAAGCGCTCATCTGACGCTGTTAGGAGACTGCAATGAGCGTATAGACTTTTTCAAAGCATGTTCTTAAACGCTATTCATTGTTTAGACAGCCAGTACGTTTCTAGTTGATGATGACGATATTTCATCTGAGCAATTCGATAGACGTTCAACAGGAAATGGTATTGAATTTAAATCCAGGACAGTGTCATTAAATAATATTCATGACATAGCATTGATGTGGTACGATCCCAATAATACTATTGTACAAATAAAAAATAAACTACAACATTTACATTATTGTTTTATTGTTTGTTCTACTACGAATCAAATCGTTGACTGTATTAATGGTATTCATAATCATAAAATTATTTTAATTGTTAATAATGCTGATATATTACAATTCATTTATGACAATGATAAAACAATCGATTCATTTTTTGTTTATGAAAACATCGAAACAGAATATGCTAGATTATTGTCGTTCATACTTTCACAATGATCGATTGAGATTGAAACAAATAGATAAATTTGAAAAAACATATAAATCATCCAAAGTCATTCAATGGTATACAAGAAAGGCATTTCCGTTTGATTTTGTTAATAAAACATTAAGAACAGAAGATATCGATTAGAGTCCTGTTACCGTGACTTTTTCGTTACCACTTACCATACCGTTACCATCGATAGAATTTTTTTTACCATTACCATCATCATGAATGTTTTACCATTACTATTACCATTACCATTACCGTGGTAATGGTAATGGAATTCTCATGGTAACAGAACATATTTCCACAGAAAGAAAAGAAAAAACATAAACACGGGCATAAGTCACAAAATAAAGAATATATAGCCATCATGGTATAATTATAACAGACGACCTAGAATGAACTGAACTGTCTAAACTATGAATTAGTTTATCAAGCTCTGATCTATAGATAGGTCATCCTTTTTTATCTGCCGGAAGATAGTCGGTGAATGGCTTTTTCTTTGTTTGCGAGGGCAAAAATTATCGGTGCAAATCTACGATTCTTATGCTTTCAGAAAAGATCATCTATTTTTTTCCTTCCATTATAGCTAACTTACAACAAGCAACTACAATAAAGTGAGCAGCTCATCAGTTATCTGTTTTGTACGATGCGTTAAATCTATCTGTTGAAAAGCGGTGCCCTTGATAAACTTGTGTTTTGTCTTTTTTTCATTTTAGTAAGCCAGAACCTCGACAAAAAGTATTATCAACAACGGCAGCAAGTTCACAAACAAAGACAAATGTTCTAACTGCAACATAACGGTGAGTATTTTGCACCCTCAGTTTTTAGCTCAGTGGAGAACTTCACACACTTTTTCGTGGATACTCATAGGGTTTTTAAAATTCTCTGTGGACGTGAACCCACGAAGACTGAAACTAAAAGAGTTCGTGTTTTTATAAATCTTACTAGCGAAAGAGCAAGAAAATTAAAACAAAACACAGTATGGAATATGAAGAGAAAAGTTCACTTTTTTGTACTCAGAGAAGTAAACAACTATCTTCTTGATGCTGATCTGCAGCTGTGTTTTCTTCGTTCTTTTCCATGAACACTTTGAACAACGGGCTCACTAGAAAAATTTTGTTCTTCTTCTCCGCATGCAAAGACTGAAAAACAATCTTCTTTGTTTCATGTGGATCTGAAGCAATAAATTCAATTCAATCTTGCTTGCAGATTCAGCTAGAAAAACTGGTCAAAAACGATCAAAAAGTCGTGAACATTTATCATCTTCCTAAGCAGTCACAGCTGATACATCCGCCACATCATCACTAACAACAAACGTCACTGCCCTAGCGCCAAATACAGTTTCTAAACCAGATGTAAAACGTCCTCGATGTAATGCGAATCAAATGTTAGATCCTTGGTCGTGGATTGCCAGAAAGCAGATGTAGAAGAAATATTAACGATCTTGTTTTTTGTGAGAAAAAAAATGTAGAACTTGATCTGATTTGTATAATAAAAGAAATCAAACAAATCAACAATTTGCTCGAAGAAAACACAGCTAGTTTAGCAGAGAATCAGAATAGAAAATAAGAGAACACTGTTTCAGTTAATTTACAGCGTTTTTTTGATTAATTTTTTGAGCAAAACACGAAATGAGCTGAGAAAATGAAGTTTGGATTTCATATAGTGCTTAATATAGCTCTGTTTTTTTGCTAATCCCTGTATCACACTTACGAACATGCGTAAATAGGTCTGTATACTAACTACAGCCATCTTTCTGCAGAATTCGACAAAAATCAAAAGCCAATCACATATAGTTCTGCATGCAGAAATTCTGCAGCGAGTTCTGCGTTTTATTATTCCCGCCGTTCGAAGCGTTTTGCTTTTTTATCCAACGACAACATTGGTACTTCTACAGATTAAAGCGACTCAACAAAGGCTTAATCCACATTATTTTGGATTGAATTAGAAGATTTATCAAGCTTGTCCAGGTAAAAGTGCAGTCTAAATCATCTACCAGCGGCAAGCGCTTTAAAACTTTGCAATCAAATTTGTTTTATTTTGTATGTCACAATTACTGGTGCTATTTAAAGAAATAATTCCCATTTACTGTGCAAAACAGTTGATGCTTCCAGTTCATAGCGTATAACCGCTTTGTTTTCTCTTCGACCAATCATCGCTCACACGCCTTCACTCAAATGTCAAACTCACACGCCTTTTACTCTTACCCGAACTCTCCTTTATTATCAGAATAAAGATTAGCGCATCTGGTTAAAATGTGAGAGAGATATTTGATTTTCT